TAGAGTTGTAATTGAATGGAAGGAGCTGCTTCGGGGTGTACAAACAAAATGAAAAATATTTTTTGTATATTGCTTGGTCATTTATTACATATGTGATGTTTTTTGTATTTGGAAAACTGAAGCATTCCCAGATTTCTATCGTCAGCTTGAATGGCAACTATAGCATAAGTCCAGTTTGAAGTATTATTTTGGAGATTGCAGTGTTGCTTGGATAATAATCTATGCAAAATTTTGAGAAGATATCTGGTTAAATAAAATGATTTTTCATACAAGGACTTGATTTTGATCGGCAAGTTTGTATGGCAGTTATGTGCTATAGTGTTTTGATAATTAGTAACTTCTTGAAGAGAAAAGAACGTGTTTCATATCCATATCTCAGAAAGATATCAGATAGACAGACGGTTATAGCTAAATCGACTAAGCTCGTCACACTAATCATTTTTATATTTATAGAGTCTCCGACGTTACCGTTTGGGTGCTACACACTTCAGGGTATTAAAATAGTTCGCTAAGTCAGCAGAAATTAACACAGGGTTGCATTTGTCGTTTTCTCACTCGTTATATTGATCGAAAATATATTTAATCCTGTTTATTTAAGATGGTTTCAGCCTCCAGCAGCTATTGAAATATCATTCCTGAGCCTTTCACAAATTTTCTAAGGCAACTGCTTGCAACGCACTCTAGAGAGCTGTTGACCGTTTGAGTTACTTTAGATCCACCTAACCCACATTAAGCTGCAATTGGCAAGGTAATTCCTTACCGTTCACAGTTTAGTAATAGCGAAAAGAGGGCGACCTTTCATGTAAATTCGCACTTTCGTTGCAATTATTATCAAATCTACTATGATTCAGTACCCATATGAGCCTTTTCTGAAAATAGTGGTCCAACCAAAGGACATGCATTGATAGTGGTAGGTGTATTGTTATAAGCAGTCTCCCAATACTTACGGGACTATCTTGGGTACTAGAGAGTATTTCCATACTTTGTCAAATCGGTATGTTTCAAACCCCGAGGATATAGTACGAATCTTCTGTTATTCAGGACATTTTCACCAATTTTCTATACTAACTTTAATAATTAATAATTAATCTATGTTAATTAAAAGGCAACAGCAAAATATGCAAATATGAAACTAATCACTATATTAATATCATGGATCATCAACCGCTTGCTCTCACACGAAGTAAAAGTAAATTCGCCTTGCCGCTATTAAGCACAGCGAGTGCCCGTGAAATCTGTGCAATATCGCATCAAGGAGTATGCAACATGCCATATCGACGTTGCAACATCATGTTGTAGTTTATCACAAATCACCAATCACAACGAATACTTGCTCAACTCGCTTTGCTCCTTAATACTCTTTAATAATCATATCGCAAGCGGCTTTAAGTGAAAATAATAATACAATACAACAATCACCACAACATAATAAAAAAGTACTTTAACTCCCTTTGCATTGCCTTTTGGCTCGTTACTCCCGATCTTGTTGTACCTATACAGTCTACCTGCTGTGCTTGCAGGAGGGCCGCCCGCTGTCTGACCAAGCGCGGTCGCTTGTTCCTGGCGCCAAGAAAGTTGCTCACGTTTGCGTCTGGATAGGAACTCTCTCATGATTATACCCGCGCGCAACATGTTGCAGAGGGTATTGTACTTTGCATTGCGCGGCTAAGGGCAGTTAGGAGCACAAACATGAATCGCGAGTGTATTTTTCTTAAACAGCGATGTGTATACTGGATATATGCACTATAATTGACCTTACAAACACGATACGGACTTGGACTGAAATACACTTCCGAGTTTGACAATGACTGCCGAGCAATGATCGTCAATAGAAAAAATCTTTTTTAATAACTTTAAGTTATCACTCTGAAGGAATTTGTTTTTGTTTTTTTGGAGTTAAGAATGAAAAGATCTTATCAAAGAAACCGAGAGACAAGACTATCGAAGCTTTTAATCTATACTAGTAAATAACCCCGATGAGATCTAATGAAATCCGATAAACACAACTGATTTTGCATATACTTTGCAGAACCGGATCTTGAAAATAAAATCATATTATATTAAGATATCAAACTCGATTTTTTAAAATTTCACCAAAGCTCAATGGTGTTGAGAAAATTTCATATAGAAAACCGATGGAGCGGATACAGCGAGTCACTATTCTCTGCATAACGGAACGCTAAGAACTACTCCAACGGCTGCATTAGAAAGGCTCCTCAACCTACCACTAATCGACATTGCAGTGGAAAGTTATGCCGCAAAATTAGCTACAAGATTGGCGGCATTAGATGAATTCTCTACAAGAATATTCGGGCATATCTCAATAAGCAGAGGGCAGGTGGAGAGAAGGTTCCAGGTTACAATAAAAGAAGGTAGATGGCGTGGAAGTATGCGACTCACCAGCGGAACTTACAACATCTATAAAAACGGCTCAAAAATAACCAATGGAGTGGGAGCCGGAATCTCTTGCTCAGAACTGGATCTCATACGCCACTTCAAGCTTCCGGAATACTGCATTATCTTCCAGATTAAAGTCTTTGCAGTCAGGAAAGCAGCGGAGATAACAGCATAAAAAGGATAAATATATACGGTGATCTCCAGGCGGTAACAATTCCACATGGCATTACGTAATAGAATGTCCTTAGAAGCAGAGAGGCGGTAGATGTAGCGGCTGTATATACGAGTATACTGAGTTCCAGACCACAACGGGTTTCCGGAAAACGAAATAGCTTATGAGATCGCCAAAAGTGCCAACCGTCTGTCTACCGAAAGAGGGCAGGAAATAAGAAAGTCACTAAAGACAATAAACAATGAAATTTCCGAAAGGGCTGGCAGGCAGATCAGGAAGAGTTGGGATGCTTTAAGTACATGTAGGATCGCTAAGATCATGTGCAAGAGCCCCGAAGGAAAACCCGCATGATTTTTACTTACACAAGAGGACTGCTGGACGGTTGTTGGTTTTTTGACAGGTCACAACCTACTGGCATCACATGCAAGCTGGATGGTTATAAGTAACGACGATACATGCAGTAAGTGCAGAGAAGCTGGCATGACCGAGGCTCTGGAGCACCTTATTTGTCTCTGTCCAGCACTATCTAGAACTCGTTTCAAATATCGAGGAGTTTCGGTGTTCAAAGAATTAGACAAAGTAAAAAACTTAGTTATCATGTTGCTTGCTTGCTTAAAGTTCGCAAAAATCATTGATGTCCTGTACGACGAATACTTCACCTCAAATTAATCAGAACCTCCATCTGTCAATACAAAAGAGCAGTAGATCTATGTATGGAGTGACAGCCGGCCAGTATAACCTAACTTAGTAAGCAAAACTTTTATGTAGGCGTGTCTTTGTTAGCGACAAATTCTTATCTAGTCCTCGAGTAAAATCAAGTCGATAGTATGTGTCAGTATGAACTGAATTCAGAGGTTCCTTACTTGCTTTATTGATATTTCTTGTAAAGCCTAAGGGCATACATACATGCATTACATAATTATATGCAGACTGCAGACTGCACTAATTTCTTTATCCACGCAGATTTTATATAAATTATTACGGGTTTTAGTAATATACTTATATACATATAAACAAAAATATGATTTCACTTATTAAAGAAGAAATATTTGTACTTCACGAAAATGTTTGCAAAATTATAAATGATTTTATTTCACCGCACACTGTTGACAATTAATCAACGGCCTAAACACAACAATTTCAACTGACGTTTGCAGTCGATTATTTAAAATTAATTAACCTTTAAACTTTTTCGCTATTTGCCCACTTTTCATTGTTATCATCACTGGCCATATGCGCACAAATACTCAATATACATACATATATATAATACAATACATACACACAAACAAATACACTTTGCTGCGAATGCAGTCGCCCCGCCACATCATTTGTCCGCCGCTTGCCGAGTTGATTGTGTGATGTGTGTGTGGCTTTTGACGTCTGGAGCCTAAACAGTAGATTCAACTTTTCACTGCGAACTCTCCCGCGTCCCATTGCTTTCTTAAACTCCAACTGCTGTTTGTTTGGCAAATAGTCTGTCAAAATGTGGACAAAGCGGCGGTGCATAGATGGGCTTGAGTGCAATTTAGCTGACCAGTGATGCCAATTAGTGAGGCGTTTTAGTTAGTGGCAAATAATTTAATATTAATGTGGATGCTGCTGTAGGGTAAGCCCAATATAAATTTACACAGTTTAGGAATTTTTTAAAAGGGTACAAGATATAAAATTATAGATGTAGATCTTTGAGGTGCTATATTTTTGAATTTATTTGGGAAAGGAGTATGTAAGCCGAGCAAACTCACTAACGGATACTTCACTCTCACTTTTTCTATCTGAGTGCCAACACGCTCATAGAAAACTGAGAAACAGTAACAAGAAATTTCTAAGGAATAAAAATGTATATATATAGCGATATAAAGGAAAACATCTTCAAAATGTCACCCGTGAAACGATGATGCCAATACTTATGTGATAACTTTACATATAAGATAACCCGTTCCTACGACAATCGGGTCTACGTAACCGGAACGGACCTGGATTTTTATCCGACCAAGCATTGCAATCTCAGCACCATTCCTCTAAATTACTTCAGGGGTGTTTTTTGTTTGCTGCAAAAAAACATATAAGTTTATCAAAGAATGTTCTCCGTGAGTCGCACACAAGAGCAGCCAAGACCTGCTGCTAAATGTTTGCTTTTTCTCTTATAAAACCTAATTTCGGTGCCCTCAGCAAATATAAATATTTAAACCACAGACATTTTCACTACAAAGAAATATTTATTTTCACATTAATGCTAGAGATGAAGCTTTAGTATGAAATAGGCTGCAATAGGCCCCTCAGCTTAAGTACGTCTCTTGATAAAAAGAGACCACACTCGTTAATTACATCGCGAAACACGTCACCTTTGATCTTATTCACGCTTTCTTTTATTTACAGATAAGAACTTTTATAAAGTATATATAAACATAATAGTTTTAATAATGCATAGCATAGGTCTATAGGTCAGCACTTGAGCGTCATGTCGTAAAAGTATTTTATTGTTTCAGCGACTTCATGCAGGCCGGCGTCGGGCGTATCATCATTTGTACGAATTTCAATGACTTACTTCTGTTCATACCTATCCACACTATACCCTGACCGCTATCACTCTCTGTATAATCGCCGTTCAAGTTGCTGTTAATGCACGCGTATGTAAATATTATTTATGCCAAATATGTATTTTGCCATTGCAACTCACCTCAAATAGCAACGATGATACCACCAGGCGCCACGATCAATCTTTTCGCAATTTCTATCGTCCTTTTGGTCATTATCACGATCGTACGTGCTGAATGTACTGCCTTCGTTATATTTTAAAATATCTTCGGCATCTCCTTTATAATCGCTTTTAGAACAAAGTCCTCCGCCTCGCTACCCACAACGAATATACTGTATTTCGCATAGTATTTCGCACCATCGGAGGTTTCTATTTTTATGTACAACTCATGTTCACAGCTTATAGTGAGTGCATGCAGCTCATCGATCCCGATCCAATAGTTATCGGCCAAGTTGCCGAAACCGACCTTATAGTCCGTCCAATTCCTATAAAAGTCCACATCAGCACTTACACGCCGCTGTATGACGGTCCAACCGCCGAAGTCGGTATCCTGATCACACCACACCTCGAATGGGCTACCAAGAACCATCCAGTTTTTTTGAATCTTGATTTGAACCCACAAAGAGCTTGTTGCGCACGAAATTCACTTGCCCAAAGAGATTATTTGGTATATTCTCAGTGTAAGTATGTGTAGCGATGAAGGAATTGCAAACAACGCTTACACTTACACAGCTTTTGTCCCGACTTTTGATAACATTCCTTATCAATAAACAACTCGGAAATGCTATCTTAAATTTGGAAACAAAAAATCGAGAATTTTCGATAAAGTTGCTCATAAAAATGGCTTTGCATAAGCAGTTTAACAATAACGGATGTTTTATAGAGCTTTAGATAAAAAATTTGATAATTAAAAATTTCGAATTAACTGTGATATTTTAAAGCTTATTATACTCAAATTTAATTACCTATATAAAGTAGTTTTAGTACTCAATTTGCATAGGATTAATTGATTTAAATATTTGATAAACACTTTGTTATAATAATGTTATAAACGTTTAATGTTCAAGCAGATAATGGTAACCAAAAGTGAATGCTCTCTATTTGAATAAAACTCAGTCCCAAAACAATCTGGTCTACTTAACCGGAATGGACGCGGATTTTTATGATATTTATTATTAAAATTATTTGTGTTTCTTTAATAAAAGCATTCTATTGATTTCAAAAATAATTAAATAATAATAACAATAATTAAATTTCAAAGTAATGGACTTGTACAGAGAGTTATCAGGCGTTTCACAATTAACGTGTCCCAAAATTACCGCAAGATTGGCATTAAATAGAAAACACAGTTTTAAGTCTTTGGATTAAATTTTTTTATTTTTATATTGAATCTTAAAGTACATAGGATAGGGGTATTTATTTAAATAAACAATTTTTGACCTTTAAAAATTCAACAGCGCCCTCCCTTTGCCTTTTCCCGACCTCAGATAGCCCATAAAGTATTTTTTCTTTCATTTTTGTTACTTTATCTTTCGTTTCCGATGGGTTTCATCCTACTATGATCTTTTTTGTTTTTAAAAATCATCTACTTAGGTCAAATAAAAATCTTCAAAGAATATATTTTATTAAGTAACCTTATTTGAACTTGAAGGCTGTTTTTTACAAACAACATGACAGAAAGAACTAAAATATATATTTCTCTCATAAAACCTAAAATTTGAACTTTCTTCGCACTAAACGAAGCAGCTCGCTCTTATTGGCCTCAGACCATAGTAAAAACTGTAGCATCTCTGCAATTTAAGTAAAAAGTATGAAGTGATATATGTTTGTTAGGCACGAAAAAATGCTGAAATGCAAAACTAGAATATGTAGTTTATTATTTCAAAGTAATGTTTTTCAACTAAAACGTTTTTGGCTCTTTTTCAAAACAGCAACTTGCTATGGTTTTTTTCTTACAGCGAACATATGCCTTAATGAATACAAGTACTTTAGGTATTTGCAAACAAATTTGTGGTCCAAGCTCTTCCGCATTGCTTGCCGCACTTACCACACACTAGAGGCACTTGCCACAATGCACAGTAGGCTAATAAGCAGTAATGTTAACAGGTAATTACCGACAGCTAAACACTGCTGCCAAAGAAGCTGCAACAAAGCACAAGTACACACACACAAATACTTGAGACCACATTTGCTATATAATATAAGCGATAAGTGCAAAAACACCTAAAAATCACTGCCTGCTGTTTCTCTGCTCCTCCATGTTTTGTAAATGTAGTGTGTGTGTGTTGCTGCTAATTGCAAACAACGAAATTCCTTAAGATATTGCCTCGGCTGCCGATAAGCAAACACTATCAAGGCACACGGCCAATGCTGCGACAGCCTCCGGAGTGGCGAGTTGACCGGCAGACACGACTTTGGCGACAGTGTTGTTGCTGGTTCAGCTCGATACCGACGATGGGGAAATATCGCCGCCAGGGAGCTTGAAGTTGGCTAACGTCTGGAGTAATTAAGTTGCTTCCACATAGTGAAAAGTGTTTAATTCTTTTTGTTTTTGGCTATTGTTGTTGTTGTTTTGGATACATATGAGTACTTGCAACAATGTAGAGGACACGCAGGACATTGTTAAGTTGCTGCCTCGCTGCCATGGAAAGTGAAAGAGACTTTGCTGAACAAATGAGCCTACACACATATACATTCTTGTATACTAATATATTTATATATGTACATGTGTAAATTGGTACTTACGAGTAGGATGCCTGTTTTGGTCATTATGTAATGCTTAGCTGATGACATTTTACTTGGCCATTTAAATTCTCTCATATAAAAACACCACACTGATGTGTATTCAAAATGAAAGCAGCGAATGGCAACAACAAACATAATAAACATAATGATGTCAGCGGTAATGTGAAAGCAAGTCTAATTCGCAATCGAATATTTTAATTTTGATTAACTAAATTTTGAGGACTAGAAAGTCGGTGGTTGCGTAGCGCAACAAAATTCCATCATGTTGGCAGCGTACATAACGTCATCTTTTGTAAAGACTGATTTTAGTATTTCCTCTTGGGTTTTCGATAGAAATATTGAACGGTCGCCACCTACTTTAAATTCGAAATTTGAAAAATCATAAGTAGTTATTGTAGGTATCAAACTGAACAGGGCTAATATAGAAACAGTTAAAGAAGGTTACCACCTAGAAAAAAAACATATAATGCATAAATACTGCAATATTTTTTAAATAGAAGAAAAAACGTTAACCTCGGCTGCACTAAAGCTATAATACCCTTAATAGGTGCATTCATTCCTTATAGCATAAATGTGTATAAAAAGATTATTATCTTGATTTAGATTGGTCAGTTTTTGAACAATACATTCGGAGATTGTAGATGGACAATAGTGTATATCAAATTTCATTAAGATGTCTCGTAAAATAAAACAAAAAGTGTTCCATACAAAGGAAAAATTACAAGCATAAAAATATACTTTGATCTAGTAAAATATTTTCTTAGATATTTTTCAAAACCAAGGTTCAAAGATCAATTTAATCAGCTACTGTTGGTCTTAAAAAATCGTTGATATGTAAGTGCGAGTGATGTGCTAATCACTACCGTTTGCAACCTTTTGTTTTTCAGTTGCAAGAGACCACAATAACAATAGCAGCTTTTGAAGCACATTGAACCAAGCGACTGACTGGTGTCAGTCAAACGTTTCGCAACTAAACTGCAGACGAGCATACACACGAACTAACACATGTATATGTACCATATGCCATATGTATTTGTCTGTCTGATTTGTCACACATCAACACACAATCTCTAGGTGAATGCACCTCTATCTTAGACCTTGGCAACTCTTATTTTCATCTACCCAACATCAGCATCTGCGACTGCTCCAAAGTCAAAGTTTTGGAAGAAATTTACGACTTTCCACAAATCACGATGGCTATTGGCTTTCTGCCCAGCTGCCTGTCGATGCATTGGCTTGTCTGTCTCAGTGGCAATTCGCCTGTTTGAAGACTCTGACTCAGGCATGGAAATCCTAATATAATATTTGTTTACACATGGAGCAGTAACGAGCCACCATGTTATTTTTGGGGTATGGGTGAACTATAGCAAGCGGGTTAATTGTTGTTGTTGACAATATTCAGGAAAATTACTGCGTTGGCGGCGAAGGTAGTAAGCGTCAAATGTTAAGTGGATTTGTGATGATGTAACTAAATAATATAAAGGTAGATATGTATGCCGAGATAGGGATAAAGATAAAGATAAAGGTATGGATAAATATAACTAGATCATTACAAATTTCTTCCAAATAACTATGCCCTTTTTGGAAAAAACCAAAATTAACGCGCCAGCAGTGATTACGTCAATTTAATTTTCACTCAAACATGTCAATTGGTTGTAGCTAATAGCCGTGAAGTACTTTCCAACGACCTGCAAAACTTCAAAATATCAAACGCCTCCACAACAACCAGCAGTAAATGCACCGGAAAAATAAAACCAAAAAGTCGAATCCACAAAACTATAACAATTGAGCCATTTCGCAAACATCCCCACACTTATAGTCAATGGCCACTTGTTGCACGTACGTGTATTTACTTTTCAAATTACCGGTTGCAAACAACAATTGAAATTTTCGGGTAATTGCATTGTCAACACCTTTCAATTGTTCACTTGTTGTGCAAAACTTAATAGGCATGGAGGATGGAGTATGCCGCATGAAGCTGTTATTGCACCAACAACACACAGTTCAATTGCAATACATCATTAAGGTTTTTGTTGTTTTTATAACGTCTGTAATTTCGGTACGTAGATACGACTGCATGTACGCTAGTGTGTATATATTTACCAGTTTACCGCTTTTATTTGCTTGGTTGCCACTTTATTTTTAACCGTTCGTTTTACCATTTTCAATTTTATTTTTGTTGCATTTTCGCGTTTTGAAATCTTCCTCACTTTATAATTACCATGTTGCATACGATGTGCGTTTCAACGGCAGTGCCACCTGGTTGTATGCACTTAACACGTTTAAAGAGATAATTGTTACAACCGAAAAGAAATATTTCGAGGCTAGTGTAGTTGTTGCTGTTTTATTTAGTTGTTGTATATAATTAACAAATTGTAACTTCATCAAGTGCAACGAGAGGGAGTGTGTGTTATATAAAGGCAGAAAAGCAACAACAGTACTGTTACAAAATTTGAAATATGGCACAAGGGAGCGTGTTGTTGCGTACTTTGAATGTTAAAAACTTGTGAGAGCATATTAAATTTAAATTGAAAGTTATAGTACTACACTGAACAGGATATACTATATTTGTCCAAGAGATTTCTAATTTAGCTCAGAGACCCTATAAAGTATACATATAAATGATCAACGTGATAAGCTAAGTCGATTTAACCAGATCCGTCTGTCCCTCCTATGCGAACTAGAAGCTGCTCATTATCAGAACGGCCGATATCGTACCACTTTAACATATAGCTGCCATACAAACTGAAGGATCGGAATAAAGTGCTTGTATAGAAAGAAGAAATTTTTCAGATCGGGTTACTATAACATACTTTTACTTTATTATTTTGTTTCGTTGGTTTT